TTTTAGGACACGGATTTGTTTGTCAAGTTAAAGGAATAGGAATTAAGGTCGTTGCATTAGCTAATCAGTGACGAAATCGAACAATTTGTTTGTTAAGCAAAATTAGTGCTTGCTTAACAAGTCGTGACAATGTCCCATCCATGTGGGGTCCATTATTCATTATGATTTTTCCTTAGGGTCCGTTTGATTGTAAGAGTGAAATTTGGATTGAAAGAAAATGAATTTTAGGGAATTGAATTGCTTAAAATTATTTTCCTGAAAATTGTCAATTAATTGTGTTTCATTAGTATAATTTTTCACGTGGAAAATATTAAAATTTTGGATCTTTTGATTTTCGTTTGACTTTATTTTACATGAAAATTGTCCATTAAAGGAATATAATTTGTTACAATTGGGGATAAAATTTATTTCCATTACTAATTTTTTTTTTTTTTATTTAAAAAGGTGAAAAACCATTCAAAGAAAACCAAGAAAAAGAGGTCACGTGGGAGTTGGGAGGAAAACCAATTTCAAGGAAAATTTTGCCTATCAAACATTGTAAAAGATGGAAAATGAAAAATGAAAGATATAAAACAGGGCCTTAGTAAAATATATGGAAAGGGACATTATGAAACATTTCAAACGAGGAAAAAGATTGTGGCACCCAAATAATATCTTTACATATCTTGCTAATGCATTATGCATAGCTTTAAATGAAATTAAATCTTCATTATATTTTGTTATCGTGTTCAATTTGAATTTATGATTTTATGTTTACTATGGAAAATTAAATTAGAATGGACATAATCAAGATAGAGTAAAATAAAAATAAAAATAAAAAATTATATTGTCCCTTTTTGTTTTGTTTTGTTTTGTGTAGTTTAATATATACCATATTCGAATAATTTGTTTTACCCTCAAAGAAACACACCATGTGATTTGCACATGCCATTTTGACATTAAGGTAGTGTTTGATTGACAACTAATTTCATGGAAAATGTTTTCCATTTTTCAAGAAATGTGTTGTTTGATGGCTTGACTTTTTTTGGCATTTTAATTTCCACCCCATGGGAGCCACGCGCATGTTTT